CAGGAGGGCTTGGCGTGATGTGGTCTATGGGGTCGCGAAAAGTCGAACTCGACTGTGTGACTGAACAACAACAACAACAATTTCTCCTATGCCACAGTGGCTTAGAGGTTAAGATGCTGCAGACCGGAAGGTCTGTAGCTCAACAGTTCGAGACCCAGGGTGCCGCATGACGGAGTGAGCTCCCGTCTCTGGCCCCAGCTCCTGCCAACCTAGAAGTTTGAAAGCAAGAAATTGCAAGGAGATAAATAGGTACCGCTTTGGTGGGAAGGTAACAGCGTTCTGCGTGTCTTGGAGTTTAGTCATGTCGGCCACATGACCATGGAGAAGTCTTCGAACCGCACTGACTCTTCAGCTTGGAAATGGAGATGAGCACCGCCCGCTAGAGTCAGATTCGACTAACTTTCGAGCACGGGAAAACTTTACCTAATTCCTCCTATAAATTTTGTATTAGAATATTCATTGATTTTTGAGGATGCTTATGGACTTTTAAACTATTCACTTGTCTCCTGGAGGCTAACTGATGGCCAATGGAAATGGACCCTCCGTGCCCTCACTGTTGCTAGGCGGCTTATATTACAACACTGGAGTGATAAACTCCCACCTTCTGTAACCCAATGGATTGAGGCCCTTACAGCTTTACCAGCATTTGAATGTATGGCGCATAGACGATAATTGTGTATGGGTGTATTTTTTAGATATTTGGAAACCTTTTGTAGATGCTTAGGTCTTTGTTGTCTTTTTAAAGTTTTAAAGTTTCTTTTCTGTTTGAAGTTGGTAATCATTTTAAAAATAGAAATACTAAATTAAAAAACAAACAAACAACAACTGGGCAGGTGGCAGCAGCTTCAAGTCAGCCAGTCGGTATAGCTCTTCACTGCTAAATGCCCATCCTGTTCTGTGTCAGTATCCGGCCGGGGGGCTGGACCACCACTCATAGCTATCATCACACAGGACATGAGCAGGCTATATCATCACGATGACCCAAGTGAGGCCAAGTGAGCCAGGCCCTGCAGATTCCTTCACGCCACTGTCAGTATTCTGGAATCAGCAGCCATTTTAAATTGCACACTTACTTCCAGTGACGTAATTGGAAGCGGCATCATACATTGCCAGTGTGGTCTAGCAACCTCCCAAATCTCTGTGATAAAACCTTCGCGATTTGGGGGGACTGCTAGAGTGTTGCTGTGAATGTAATGTTTGGCACATGATCCCAGAACATGCTGAGCTCAAGGAAGTGGCAAACAGGCCCTCCACAACCATTTACTCCAGAGCAAACAGTGCAGGAAGAAAGGTAGAAGGCCCTCCTCCTCTCCCCTTGCGGTCCTTCAAGCCATGCCAAACAATCAAGTGGTTTTTTAAAGGTGAGTCTCTGAGAGTACAAGTGACTGTGAGACAGGTCGGGGGTCCCCTGACATGGTTCACAGTATATGGATTGTTTAGAGACAACAAGAGAGGAGGGAGGGATGGAGAGTGGGATTTATTTCAAGTCAGACTCAGCCAGAGACAGGGAGATGCCTGGTGCTAGTGAGAACTGGCTGAAGGCAAGAAGGGTTTTGCTTTTGAGCTGTTCTTCCCAGGCAACTCTATTGGCTGGGTTGGCATGATGTATCGGGGGTGGGGGTGGGGTGGGGGAACATGAAGCCAGGATAATGCATTGTGTGAAATAAAACTATAGCAAAGTCACCTCAGTTTTTTTTAAAAAGCAATTTTATATCCTGAGCAGATCCTGATTTGAGGTACTGCCACTAAGCACAGATTGTGTGTGGTTGCACAGGTTCAGGTAATTAACTATAGTTAGTTTAATTAAACCTTGGCTCCACATTACATCTGAGTCCACACATTTCCTTCTCTGCATAGCCTGGGAGAGCGCCATCAGGGAACAAGCCAGGGTTAAACCGCGATGCCTGCATTCATACAGCACATAAGACTGTCATGTATTGATCTGTGGTTAATAAACCAGATTTTGGCTTCAGATCCTGGTTAGATAGAACCTGACAAGCCACACTTAGCACAGTGGTCAGGGGCACAGTGGTCCACACCGAGAAACTGTTTTAACTAAAACATGGTTTTGCGTGATATCTGACCTGTCTGTCTGACTGGCAATGGCTCTCCAAAGCCTCACAGCAGTTGTCTTTCCCAGCCCTTCCAGATATGGCAAAGGAGGAAGGGGGATGAACCTGGAACCTACCATATGCAAAGCATCTGCTCTCTCACTGAGTGACAGACAGGAGGAAAGGGGTGCAAATCAGAGCCTTATTGGAGAGAATCAATCAGGTTTGTTCTATTATCCATTAAAGAAGGCCCGTTTCCCCTTTGAGGAAAAGTCAAATCGAAGCAGAAAGTTGAGCTGGCTCGCAGCTTTTGGCTAGAGCAGCACCCATTTGGAGAAGTTCTGCCGATGAGAACTCATCCACCCTGCTGGTTCCTCTCTGGCAACGGCACAGCACACCACAGCCATGGCCTCCAGCTTGGCCACAAGGTATAGAGGGAACACTCTGGGGCAGGGATGCTCTGTATTCTTGGTGCTTGGGGGTGGCAACAGTGGGAGGGCTTTGGGAGTTCTGGCCCCACTGGTGGACCTCCTGATGGCACCTGGGGTTTGACCACTATGTGACACTGAGTGTGACCCAGAGGGAGAAGGAGAGCCCAACAGGTGGGCGAGGCGGCCCTGTGATGATTCCTTGTGTTAGAGTGTGTGTGTCTCTTTAAAGGTTTGGTTGCAGTGCAGAATGCAGAGTAGAATGATGGAAAGGGACATGTGGCGTATGATTGGTGGATGGCAGAGTGTGGGAGGAGTTATTCTGTGTGGATCTGTGTGGGTGTGTTAGTGAGAGATTGAAGAATGACAGTTGGAGTTTTTAGGGCTTAGAGTGAGAGTCGGAGTTAGAACGTCTGTCAGAGAGAGAGGACAGATAGCTGTGTGAAAACTGGACATGTTCAGAAAAATATGTGGTTGAAAGATGTGGAAAAGTAATGAGACGGATCTGAGACATCCTAAAGTAAAAGAAAACTAAACACAAACTAAAGAGCTTAGCCTTAGCCTAAGTGAGAGAGTCCTGTCAGGACTAAAACTGACAGAGTGTGTTAAAGTGCTACAGTTGACAAGTTCATTTACAGAAACCTTATTCCCAACCAGTTACATAATAACCAAAATCTTATTTTGTTCCTCTTTCAATAAATCCTATTTTATTTAAATATATCCCAGAATTCATATCAATTCTTCCTCTGGATCACAATAGATCCTTGAGCCTGTGTTACCCTACCAATAAGAGAAACAGAAGGTTTGGAAATCATTAAATTCCTGGTGGCAGCCGAATCTACCCAGTTTTACAGAAATAAAGAGCACATTTAAAGAGAAATACAGTCCTCCCTAATAGGAGGTCGTCACAGGCCCATCGAGTGAATACTTTTCTTTCCTGCTGGCTCGAGTGGCGCAATGGTGGCGGAGCAGGACTGGGAGCTGGATGAGCTCCTTAAGAGTAAGAGGAGCGGCATGGTGGGGACAACGCTCTGGGTAGTTTTCCTGACACCCCCCCCCCCCCCTCCCACCCCCACTTCTCTCACGCCCCTTCTGCACGTCACTTCTGGAAGTAACATGGGGCGATTCTGCATTGGCTTTTCCCTCCATTGTTTTATGAAATCCACGTTGGAACAGAGATTCCCCTCTGCACTGCATGCTGCTTTCAGTTCCTTTGATCATTGAATTTTATGATACCCTCTACACTCCATGCCTCTTTCACTTCCTTTGATCATCGGGTTTTATGGTACTTTCTGCATGGATTTATGGCTATTCAGGGGTGACTTTGCAGTCAGTACTGCGTTGGCCTGGGGAATCTGAATGGTTTTGAGCTGTACCTTTTCCTCCAAGTTGAGAAAATGTGGCACGAATGCCAGATACAGAACCAGCCATAGTCATGTCAGGGCACGTCCCACCTACAGAACATTTTCTGACTATGGACCTGCAGACACCCCGTGAGGTGGATGGGGCTGAGAGAGCTCTGAGAGAACAGCTCTGAGAACTGTGACTGACCCAAGGTCACCCAGCTGGCTGCTTGTGGAGTGGGGAATCAAACCTGGTGATCCAGATTAGAGTCTGCCGTTCCTAACCACTACACCAAACCGGGGCGTGCCCCTGGTGCCACGCAACAGAGCCCTGGGTAACCTGGCCAGGAAGGTGCGAGGCTGGAAAGGGGACGAGGATCCCCTCCTGTTGCCGTGGAGCTCCGTGGGGCTCTGGCACTTCTGCGAGGCCCACGACGAGCCGCACAAGCTCTTCTGCACCCAGGACAAGGCGCTCATCTGCGTCATCTGCCACGACCTGCCCCAGGACTGTGGCCACAACTTCTTGCCCACCAAGGATGCCATGCAGAGAGCTCAGGTTGGAGCTAGGGGTGGTTGTGCTGAATCAGGGGAAGGGGCTCCTTTCAAAGAACTTATTGTCCACTGAACACTGGCTACGGCCAGGTTGAACTACATGTGTCCTTCCCTTATGATTTGAAACAACCACACTTAAAGGTTCCTCCAAATCTGCCCAACTCTGATAGTGGTGCCTGCTTATCCCCACAAGGGCCAGGACTTCACTCCTAAAACAGGGTGATCCTGTAGTAAGCCAAACTCAGAGTTCAGTGGCACCTTTAAGACCAACAAAGGTTGGTCTTAAAGGTGCCACCGGCCTCTACATTTGTTCTACTGCTTCCAACCAACACAGTTGACCCCCTGGATCTCTAGTAAACCAGTTCAGAATGGCAGGCGGCAGCCAGGAAGGCTACGTTCTCACAGTATGCGTGATCTGATCGATTTGTCAATAGCAAGATTGCTACCTGGAGACTTTGGGTGCGCAGGTACAATCTCCCATCGCGGAACTGCTGACCGCAGCACCCGCTGTCACGTTATTTCTTGGAAGGCGCCCCTCCCCTACACGCTGCAGAACTGAAACTAAAAGCCGCGGCGATGTCTTCACAACACCCCATCCATCCCGTCTCTTTGACGGTGCGTCCATTGGAAGCGGGCAGCGCCTAGACGCCGAGCCGATTCAGCTCTTTGAAAAACGCTCGTTGGATTGACTAGCCGAGCAGCCATGGCCTCCAGCCTGGCGGAGGACCTGGTGTGCCCCATCTGCCTGGCCCTCTTCCAGGAGCCCCTCATGCTGGGCTGCGGCCACAACTTCTGCCGGGCTTGCCTGGACAGAGCCATCCCCATCTGGTGGCTGTTGAAGGGGACCTGCCCTGAGTGCCGCACCCCCTTTCACTCGGGGGAGGTGAAGCGCAACAGAGCCCTGGGCAACCTGGCCGAGAAGGCCCGGCGCTACAAGTTGGACGAGGAGGAGCCCCTCCTGCCGCCGGGGAGCTCCGCGGGGCTGTGGCCCTCCTGCGAAGCCCACGACGAGCCGCTCAAGCTCTTCTGCACCCAGGACGAGGCGCCCATCTGCGTCATCTGCCGCGACCTGCCCCAGCACCGCGGCCACGACTTCCTGCCCACCAAGGACGCCGTGCAGCGGGCTCAGGTTGGAGGGGGAGAGGATGGGGGGGAAATCTGGGGGGGGGGGTAGTTTGGTTCCTTACGACGCGGACTGTCTTCCCTTAAGCCACGACGTTTCGATTCAAAAACGAAAGCCGCCGTCCGTGATACATTTATTTCAGGACCAATCAACATGCCACTGCACAGTAGGCAAGTCTTCCGGGCCCCCAGCATGCCTCATCAGCAGTGCTCCCTCTAAGCTGTGGAGTCTTGTGAGCAAAAATTCTCCTTTGTGAGCGACTGGCATTAAAGTTGTGAGTGAGCGATTTGGCTACTGCATAAATTAGTTTGCTCTGGAGCCATGCTTGCTGAGCTAAGATAAAAAGGTGTGAGCCGGAGGGTAAAAAACTGTGAGCTAGCTCACACTAACTCACCTTAGAGGGAACACTGCTCATCAGCCTGCATGTTTTAAAAAATTGGGAATCGGGATCCTGCAGCCCTTGATCTTCAGGCCTCTTCTTGACACTCTTTATAGAACGCCAGCATTACCTACATTTTCTGTGCAAATAAAGGCATAATTCTGCATTGCAAAATGAAATTAGGAACATAGGGGGCATCTAATCCAGCATCCAGTTTCATTCGGTGTCCACTTAGTTGCTCTGCAGGGCCAACACAGGGGCCCTGGCTTTCTCCTGATGAAAACTAAGGCAACTGAGCCAAAATAAGGACATTAAGGCAAACTGCACTCTTTCAAACTTCCCTTTATTTGCATAATTTATTCTCTGAATGTTGCTATTCCAATAAGATCTTAAGCCCTAATGAGTTGATTTGGCCTCACGTCCAAGTAAGCACTCTTATTCTGTTTCAGAACAAAGTAGGGATGCCAGCCTCCAGGTGGGTCCTGGGGATCTCCTGGAACAACAGCTCATCTCCAGACTACGGAGATGAGTTCCCCTGGAGAAGATGGATGCTTTGGAGGGTGGACTCTGTGGCATTGTGCCCCACTGAGGTCCCTGTCCTCCCTAGGCTCCATCCCCAAATCTCCAGGAGTTTCCCAGCCTGGATCTGGCAACGTACCCCCCCCCCAGCTCCCCCCAGTGGCCTGGGAGAACCTGTCAACCCTAGAACAAAGTCTTTCCCTTTGGACACTGGAAATCTTATGCAACAAGTCCTCTCATTTCTGAATGTTCACTGACAATGACTCATATTCCAAACTAACCTACGTCTGGCCTGCTCTTGACCTTTCAACAGCAGTTTAATCTGCAATTAGCATTATCACACGCTAAGTGCTGCTGATCAAGCCGTTGTTAACAGAGCTGCCATGTAGGCTAGTTGAAAAAGAGGCAACCCCTAGTGATGGTTTGTAACTTTGTAGCCCGTACACCATGGATCTCCCTCCCCCCCCCCTTTTGGTTCTTTAGAGGCAGGAGGTGCTTTTGGAATTCTGAAGCAGGATGGTGGGCACAACCACAAACTGGCTGCCATAGGAGGTGTTGGCAACTACAAAATGGCTTCCTGCTCTCCTTGTTACACAGGGTTGGAGTGCCACCATTGTAGTGACTGAACAGGGCTCGCCACATGAGGCCGTTGTTAATTTACTCTCACCCATGCTGGGTTTTTCTGCGACACAGGGAAAACTGAAAGCATACCTAAAGCCCCTGGAGAAGTTTGTGAAGAAGAATGCTGAGGATGAAATCAATCAGCAGAAGGAAATTGAAGCCCTGAAGGTAAAAAGGCAAAAAAACAGGGAGGTCTGGGGGCAAAGGCGGCTCAGTGGGGAGGGATGGGATCCCCAGCAAGGTTGCATGGCCTCCTCTTGGACAAACTCAAGAGTAAATTGCAGGAAAATTTTATTTAGAAAACATTTGTTGTGGTTACATTTTTATACTTTACATTAGAGAGAGAGAGAGAAAGAGATGTATGTATGTATGTTTTGGGGAATAATCACTCATGGCCTAAAATTTTACATTTACAAACATGTTCCCATATAATTGCAAAAAAGTAAAAGTCCTGAGTTATTTCCTAAGGTTTTTAAATAGCCCTAATGACACAAATAGCCCTGACCTGGATAGCCCAGGCTAGCCTGCTCTTGTCAGATCTCAGCAGCTAAGCAGAGTTGGTCGTGGTTAGTATTTGGATGAGAGACCACCAAGGAAGTCCGTGGTCACTACTCAGATGTGTAACAGATGCCATAAAAATCCAAATAAAATCCCGCAACTTCTCTTATTTGGACATTTCAGTTGTGTATACTTAATAACATTTTTGTATGCTTAAGAATGTATTTAATGTTTTCTTTTTCATTCGTGGTAACATTTTATTTTTCGGTGGTTTGGATGTTCCGCCACTTGCAGAACTGCACCGAAGACCTCTTGGGTCACATTTCCAAAGAGTTTGAGGCTCTCCACCAGATCTTGCACAAGAAAGAACAGGACATTAAGTTGGTGGTAGAGAAGATGAAGGCGGAGAACATGGAGAAAATGGAGGATTCTTTAACGTCTCTGAAAGAAGAAGCATCTTCGCGTATCGAGACTATTGCCGAGGTCAAAGCTGCCTTAGAAGCAACAGATCATGTCTTTCTAAAGGTAAGATTTGCTTTCAGAGATTTACCTGGAAGATTAGACCTCTCTTGTGCCTGGGTTCAGGCCTTTAGGTGGAAAGGGCTCGGGAGTGCCAGGCAAGGGGAATGCGGACACTGAAGCAGCAACATGGGAATGCGCACAAACGTCATATTCACAAAAGTCAGCCCTATCAGCTCCCCCACAGCTCAGTGGGAAACATCACCCATGTGTCAATCAGGGACCTTGGGTTGGGATCTCACTAAGGCAGAATGCGAAAGCAAGAAGGCAAAGCTCATCCTTTCTTCAGCAATGAATACGCCAAGCTGCAGCAGAACAGGCGAGGGCAGACTAGAAGCTCACACACTGAGAGGCAGTCCTCTGATCCCACACATAGCCAATTACAGAGGAACAAGATATTGTATAGGTTGCTAAGATTCTCCTGCCTGCCCTCTTATTGGTACCAGCCGTATATACTGTGGCACAGAGGCCAGTAGAAAAAAAGGCATAGCACGGGGTGGAGGGTGGGCACAGGAAGAAGAAGAGATTGGATTTATACCTCGCCCTTCACTCAGAGTCTCAGAGCGGCTCACAAACTCCTTTCCCTTCCCCTCCCCACAACAGACACCCTGTGAGGGAGGTGTGGCTGAGAGAGCTCTTTCCAGAATTGACCTTTCAAGGACAGCTCTGACAGAACTATGGCTTGCCTAGGGCTATCCAGCCAGGTGCAAGTGGAGGAGTGGGGAATCAAACCCGGTTCTCCCAGATTAGAGTTCGCGCACTTAACCACTACACCAAACTGGCTCTACACCAAACTACACCAAACTGGATGAGTTGCTGTTTCAAATCCCACATGTGCCTAGCAACTCCAGAAAACTGTTAAGATTAGTAATGAGCAGGGGTGGGAGGTGAGTGAGGACAACACCAATCCTTATCAAACACCAGTCCATCAAACATTAATCCATACCTTTATTGAACTGCATCAAGAATACAGAAAGCGAGTCAGACAAATGGTGTTGCCAGCTCTTACGGTCCAGCACAGCTTCTGTGCCTATGTGAGATGTCCTGGCAGACCACAGAGTCACAGGCAGAGCTGTGTCTGTCACTGAGTGCCCATGAGAGAGAGAACAGCGGTGGTCAAACAAGCAGCTCTCAAGTCAAACAAGCAGCTCTCAAGGGTGCAGGAGTTAGGCTAGGACAAGGAAGCTAGCAACTCCACAGTAAGGCTGCTGAAAGTACACTGGTCCCTGTGGCCATGCTGTAGGCTTAGCAGATGGTTGGCATTGTACAATTATTTGCTCCGCTCAGCCTCTCCACCTGTTGGGTGGTAGCCCTGTTCACAAGTTACAGTGAACATATGTACAATCCGTGTACCACATACACTTCATTTTTTTAATACATGCATTGAGTGATCCTCGTGTTCAGTGCATGTGATTCAAATGCCACATTTGTCCTCAGTTTCATTTGTAAAGGGAACGCACATTGGCTCTTTCTTACAAATGGGTGTCTGGCCATATATGCAGGTTGTATGCGTGTTCACTCTAACGTGTGACCAGGGCTGGTGTCTGCAAAAAGGCCAGACAGACATGAGGACAGTATCTGTATACTAATTCTCAACAGTCCCCTCTGCGTGCAGATACTTATTTCCACCAGCAGAGGACTCACTCTCCCCAACATGTTTTTCTACAGACTCAAGGGACTAAGTGGGTCTGCAGAAAATTCCCAAAAGTTAAAAAAAAAAAACTTGGGGAGGGTTGAATTCCCCCAATACCTTTTGCAATGGCTGCCACAGGGATCTACTTTACGCTGCATCGATAGTGAGAGATTAAAACTTTTTTTGGGGGGAGGCTTCTAACTGGTTCTGTCAGTAAAAGGCAGGGGAAGGGCCCTTTCCAGGCCTATTCTGGCCTTTCAGGGAGGGATCCTTAGGGCCACGCCTGACAAGGGTTGCCAGTGCCAGGCTGGGGGATTTCTAGAGATTTTGTGGTGGACTTTAAGGAGGTGGGCTGGGTTTGGGGAAGGGAGAGGCCTCTGCTGGATATAACGCCACAGAGTCCACCCTCCAAAGCAGCCATTTTCTCCAGGGAGACAGATCTCTGCTGTCTAGAGTTCAGTTGTAATTGGGGGGGGGGGGTCTCCAGGCCCCACTTGGCAGTTGGCAACCATAGGCTTGGCAGCAGCTTGATGCCCTCTCACTTTCATGACTCAAGTAGCCCCAGCTGCTTGCTGCTGTTCATCAGCAGGTGCCCTATGAAAGTCAGTGTGATGTAATAGTTAGAGCTTCAAAGTAGGGTCTGCAAGACCCAGGTTCAGATCCCTATCTTGCAGTGAAAGCTGACTGGGAGATTTTGGATCAGTCACACACTTTCAGCCTAACTAACCTCACAGGGTTGTTGTGCAGATAAAAAGGAGGAGAGAATAATGTAAGCTGCTTTGGTCCCCACTGTGGAGAAAGACTGTAATTTCCCTAGGTAGAGGCTGTTGGGGAGGGGGGTGGAGATGGAAAGCTGAAGACAGATAAAGGTAGGTTCCCGTTGGGTGGGAAGGAAATAGAGTTGCCAACTCCAGGTTGGGAAATTCCTGGCCATTTGAGGGGTGGAGGCCTGGGGAGGGTGGGATTTGAGGAGGGGAGGAACTTCAGACTAGTATGATGCCATAGACTCCACCCTCCAAACCAGCCATTTCCTCCATGAGAACGACCACTGCCAGCCTCCAGGTGAGTGCTGGAGATCACCCAGAATTACAACTGTTGTCCAGGCGACAGAGATCAGTTCCCCTGGATAAAATGGCTATTTTGGAGGGTTGAGTCTATGGCATCATACTAGTCTGAAGTTCCTCCCCTCCTCAAATCCCACCCTCCCCAGGCCTCCACCCCTCAAATGGCCAGGAATTTCCCAACCTGGAGCTGGCAGCCCTAAGGTGAATTGATCTCTGTAGCTGGGAGATCTGTTGTGATTCCCGGAGCACTGCCGTTGCTGCTGTGGGGGGAGAGGAAGCAGGTGGGTGGCTGGGAGCACTGCCACCACCACCACGGCTGCTGCTGCTGTGCAGGGTGGGGGAGGAAGCAGGCAGGAGGCTGGGAGAGCAGTGGGGGCAGAAAGAGAGAGTGATCGGGTGGGGGGGAAGAGAGAGAAAGAGTGATGAGGTGGGGAGGCAGAAGAACAAGAGAATGATGAAGGGGCAGAAAGAGAAAGTCACATTCATGGAGGAGAGAGACAGTAAGAAAAGGAGGGGCAGAAGGGAGAAAAGAGTGTGAGAGAGGGGAGGAAGCAAAGGTGTGAGGAATGGGATAACCATCCCACAAGTTTCTTGCGGGTCTCCACTTGTTCTGCCATAATTGCAAAGAGCATGCAGCCTCCAAAGGGCTATATATGATGCTGTGGCAGGGTCCAGAGCCCTCCCCACACATATGTTTCCACAGGATGGATTGTCTGTATTGAGGGGGAGGGGATGTCATGTAACCACTGAGATGACATTTACCTGCTCCTTTTAAGGAGTTGTGTTAAGGGCTCAGAGGTCAAGACGCTGAGCTGCAGACCGGAAAGTTGGTAGTTTGGCCGTTCGAGACCTGAGTGCCGCATGATGGAGTGAGCGCCTATCTCTGGCCCCAGCTCCTGCCAACCTAGCAGTTCAAAAGTAAGAAATTCCAAGTAGATAAGTGGGAAGGTAACAGCGTTCTGTGCACCTTGGCATTTAGTCATGCCAGCCACATGACCTCAGAGAAGTCTTTGGACAGTGCTGGCTCTTCAGCTTGGAAACAGAGATGAGCACTGCCCCCTAGAGTCGGATTTGACTGGCTTTTGAGCAAGGGAAACCTTTACCTTTAAGGAGCTGTAGTGGAACAATGTCTGCACTGATCTCCGGGGTGGCTCCATGGGACTTTCACCCTGCAAGGCACTGGGCAAAGGTCCACTAACCTTTTTCAGGCACCTTTGGAATTCTGACACAGGGTAGTGAGGACAACCACAAAATGGCTGCCACAGGAGGTGGGGCCAGCTACAAAATGGCTGCTACAGAGGGCAGAGTCAACCATGGAATGTCAGGGAGTGAGGTGACACGTAACTCTGATAATAACTCTTCAGCATTTCAGACAGAATATCCGTTTAACAGGGTGCCTTTTAAAATGAACATACTGTTTTAAAATATTTTCCTCAACGCTTACCTGCACTCACACAGAGAAGATCCTTGAGCTGTGGTGGCATCTGCTGCCAAAGCAACCTTTTCAAAAATCTGCATAGACAATCACGTCTCCAGTGACCAGTCAGACGCACTGCTGGACTAAGGCCCATCTGGCCCTGCCCACTTTCTAAAAAACAGCTGGCAGGCTTCTGGAAAAGTGTTGACAGGCACCATGGATGGAGCCCATGGGCACCAAGCTGAGTTCCCTTACCCTAGACATTCTGGTGCTTGACTAGCAGCAGTACAGATCAACCTAGAGTGGCTGGCTACTACCCTGGAGTGCAGGGTATGCCACACCAGGGCCTGTCCACAGTACCTCTTTTCTGCTGTCTTCCCTGCCCTGCTATGTATAGCTGGTATTGACAGGAAGGCAGCAGGAGTGGGATATATAAGGTAAAGGTTTCCCTTGCTCGAAAGCCAGTCGAATCTGATTCTAGGAGGCGGTGCTCATCTCCATTTCCAAGCCGAACAGCCAGTGCTGTCCGTAGATTTTTTCCATGGTCATGTGGCTGGCTTGACTAAAGGCTGAGGTGCATTGCTTTCGAACTGCTAGGCTGGTAGGAGCTGGGGCCAGAGATGGTAGCTCACTCCATCATGCGGCACTTGGGTCTCGAACTGTCAAGCTACCGACCTTTTGATCTGCAGCTCAGCATCTTAACCTCTGAGCCACTGCGGCCCCTAGGGAGGGGGATATATTTTACTGCATTTATGCTCCCTGCACCCCCCACTTGTAGCTGCCACAGCTTAACGCAAGACCTCTCCACTTACTGACCTTTGTGAGGTGTGTTTTGGGTAGCATTTTCCCTTTCGTGTCTGTGTTCCTAGACATAGTACCTGAAATGAGGAGCATTAGCCATAATGCACAGCACTGTTATTCTGGCTGGCTGCATTAAGTGCTCCCTTCTTATGCCAAGGTCCCCAACTGAGACTGTCATTGCCAAAGCGTCCCCCTCCCTATTTGTGTGCTAAGTGTGCACCACATGAGACCAGAGATACAGCCCTCTGTCACATGCCCTGGCATTTGAGCTATGAGTCTCAAACCTGTGGATTCATATTGTGCTTAGGAGGGCTTTGACTGGCTGCAACCTTGCCTTGGCTGGCATCCTAAGCTGTGCTGAGGCTTGAGGGTGGGATGTGTGGTTAAGTGGAGAAATTGTATTTTCACTCTCCGTCTGTTTTATGTGGACATGTAAAACTATTCCATGGCTCTTAAGGGTCCATTCTGCATCTGGCATTTGCTCGACATTTTTCCAGCACTCGACCTGGTTCCCCCTTGCTGTTTTCATTGCATATGATCCTGGTTTCTGCATTGGCTGGTGTCAGCTTGCCATCTATTTTCTTTTCAACCCTCACCACTGCATTGGTATGCAGATTTCCCTGTGTCAGTACTTGCCTCAGTGGTCATTAGCCTCTGGAAACAAATAATTCATGGTGAGGTGATAAATAAAGAGTGGGAAATAGGGGCGGGGGAACTGACGGAGATATGAAGCCATGTCAAGTAGTCTGCTTATTGTTCCCTTCGAATCAGAAGTGGAGGAAGGAAAAGGTGCTGCTCAAAACCACATTCAGATACCCTGGGGCAACGCCGTACTGACTGCAAAGTCACCACTGAATGGCCATAAATCTATGAACAAAGAAAGTGAAAGCGGCATGCAGTGTAGAGGGGAGATTCACCTTCTGACATGGCTGTGGAAAAACTGCGAGGCAACAGATGGGTGCAGATTCAGCTAAGGTCAACTAAGTCCCACTCCACCCAAGACACTCCTGGTAGCACCCTCTTCTGTGCCAGAATTACACTGACATAATACCAGCACAACTTGGCACCAGCATATTTTTGGGTTATGCTGATGTAGGGCTTAATTGCCATCCTAAGCCATTCTGAGCACATTAAGATCCATCAAGCTGTCCATGTTTTGTTCTTGTTTTTTACTGCAAAGTTGTTCGCATTCTTGTATGGTTGTTGTTGGATGTCTATTATTTCTGAGATCCTAGCAAAAATTAATAATAATTGAAATATGATGTATTTCATTGTTTTAAGAATTTATTGTTTTAAGAAATTCTGTACATCCACTTGAAATAGCGTAGGAAAATGTTGTAAATCTACTAAAAGCTGCCTCTTTCTTTCAGGGCTTCAAGGAACTAGTGAAGAAGTAAGTCTTTTTTGGAAGTATCCTACACATTCACCCTTTTTTCCCTCTCAAGACCTTCTTCCTTCCATGAAACTCTTGGCTTAACCCTTTAGACCTCATTCTCAACTGAAACAGAATCTAACCGCATCTCACATTTATCCTTTATCACCTTTTCTTTTCCTTTTGTCCCCTGCACTGTTGAAAATGTGGGGCACTATCCAGCTACCGGGAAATGAGTTTGGACGTCAAAGCTTGTTTGCTGTTCTCTTTTTAAAACAAAAGAGCTGTATTTCAGCTCTTTAGTCACTAGGGGGGGATTGAATCCTGCCCAATGCGATTGGTGGGGCTGCGTAAAGAACCTCTCTGCACCTTGACTTGGCGTGCATGGAGGGAGAGCAGGCATGAGCATACTAGCCTCACCCCTGTGCGATCACAAAGGATCGGCCCACAATCACTCCCCGTGACCAGTGAAACTGCTGTCCATTCCTTGCTAATCACAAGGAGGCACGGCCACAGCATTTTTATGTGTGTGCACTGGGAAGGTGACACGGTCTGACCTGATTTTCCTCCCCACGGAATGAATCAGTGTGCAGAGGGTGGTCTTAAAGGGCTTCTGTAATGGGGCAATGTGAGTGCACTTGCATTTGCATACATTTTCCCCTGACTGGATCTTGCCCTTTAAGCTCTAGCAGGCAGGGGCTTCTCTTTACTTGAAAGCAACAAGTAGATTACAAATTACTGTCATTCATTTATTATCGAGAATATTCTTTATTTACAACATTTTGACCTCGTCTTTCACACAAGTTTTCCAGGTGGGTAACAAAAACATTTTGATTTGAAAGAAAAGTGTCTAGCTTTTCATTGCAGAAATGTGCAAGCAGTTGCTGTCCAAATTGCTTGGGAAGGGATGGGGGACGGTTAACCCAGATTCATCTCCTTCCTCCCCTCTTTTGGAGTTGCCTCTTTTTTTGTACTATAGGGTTGCCTGTGTGTGAAGGGCTGATGAAGCTTTCCATGGTATGGAAGTAAATAACACCCAATTAAGTCTCTGTTCAAGAGAGTGGGCCCTCCCCTGGGTGGCCCAGGCTTGCCCAATCCTGTGAGATCTTGAAAGATAAGCAGAGTCGGACTAGGTTATTATTTGGATGGGAGACCACCAGGGAATACCAGGGTCGCCACGCAGAGGGAGGCAAGGGGCAAACCGCCTCTGAATATCTCCTGCCTTGAAAACCCTACGGATTTGCCGTAAGTTGGCTGTGACTTGCTGGCAAAAAGAAAATGAGGGACAGGACGATTTTCTCCAGGCCTGTTGGTAAACCTGTTGCAACAGGAAATTTGCCTTGGGAGTAGGTGGGACCATGGGCAGATGACAATATGACTTCCCAGTGGCCAGCCTGGGGAACCTCCCATCCAAGCCTCCCTGTATTATGGCCTTCCTGGCCCTTCATTGCCGACTGTGAGGTGGGGCTTCTACTGGTGGCTCACTGTAGTTGCTCCAGCCATTGGCAGGGCTTACTTGGGAGCCTCCACCAGTCCAGGTAAGTTCAGGGGTAAGAGTCTCAACTTGAACAACCATGTTTCCAGTATTTGTACAACTCCAGAGTCTGTCCTGACTCTCAGTATTGGATCTTGTCCCATTTTCTAAGTTCAGAAGCAGGAAGGAAGCTGTCATGATAGTGCTAAGAGGAGAGCAGTTTGTGGAAGAGAGAGGCAAGTAGGGTCTGTGGGTCAAATCTAACTCACAGAGCCTTTGCACATGACCCCTTGACTTAATCCCTGTTCCCAAAGTTTATTAGCTTATACGCACAAGAGCCAGTTTGGTGTAGTGGTTAAGTGTGCGGACTGTAATCTGGGAGAACCGGGTTTGATTCCCCATTCTTCCACTTGCAGCTTCTGGGGGACATTGGGCAAGCCATAGTTCTGTCAGAGCTGTTCTTGAAAGAGCAGCTCTCTCAGAGCTCTCTCGTAAGCTGCTCTGAGACTCCAAGTGAAGGGTGGGGTATAAATCCAATCTCTTCTTCTTCACACACTGCTACTCACCTTATCTGTTTTCTTCCAAGCTGAGACATGTGCAAAGGGCTCTTTTCCCACTCCCGCAGTGTGAACGGCTACAGAGGCATGGAAGAGCCCTCCTCTTAGGCTGTACCTGAGCTGGTCACTCTCATGCATATCCAAGGAAATGATGGAACATAAAAGAAAGGCCCCTGCCAGTACCTCTGAGGGTGTTCACACTGTGGAAGAAAAGCCCTTTGCTTGTGGGAGAGTGAGTAAGGCCATTTCCACAGTAGTGAAATTCCCCACATTGACATTTTAAAATTTTCATGTGATGTGAAATTTTCCACAGTAGATTTTTCCTCACCAGGTGCAAACCTGAAGTTTTCTCCTTCTTTCCCCACGTTTTTGGAATCCCCAGTTTTAGTGAGTTCCGAATATGCAGGAAAAGAAGGAGAAAACTTCGGGTTAGTGCCTGGTGAGGAAAAATCTACTGCAGAAAATTTCACATAACGCGCAGATTTAAAAATGTCAATGTGGGGAATTTCACTACTGCGGAAATGGTCTCTGTGGGGGCAGTTCAGATTACTGGCCTTTAATCCCTTGCTTGGTTGACAAGATGCCCCCCTCAAGACTAAGTTACCCCTGAAGACTGCAGAGGTGGACTGCCACCAATCTGTAGGTGCTGGAGTGTGGGGTTTTTTACAATTAATGTCTTCAACTCTGTCACTGATCAGCCCTATTCCATAGGTGGGCAATAGCTGATGGGATGTGCATGATATAGCAGGATATACCTCTGGTAATGTAATGTGCATTGTTCATAGAATCAAGGAGCATCACCAAGGAAGCATAGATGAAGATGAAGATTGGGACGATGAAGACTGGGAAGATGAAGATAGTGAAGATGAAAATAGCAATGAAGAAGAAACCAGTGATGCTGACAGTTGCAATACTGAAGTGATAACCGTCGCTGTAGCTCTCAAGAAGTTCAAAGATTTTTTGGACTTTGAGGCTTGCAAGAAAAAGTTTGAATGTATAATTCCAGGCAACTATGTAAATCGCATGTTACTGGCAAAATATACTGAAGACTTGAAATTAAAGCAGAAAAGTGCCAAAGTAGCATTACAGCTGAATGTCAAAAAGACTGCTAGCCTGCTAGGTTTTGACTACTAGGGAATTACACAAGATTAAGACTGACAGTGAAGAAACTGAAATTGTTAAAGCTTTTCTATTCCTTTTGGTTGATGATTGAGCCAAGGAATATCTCAAATTATTAATGTTCCTCCCACCAATTTTTACTCCACCTTCATCTAAATCCAGTCCAGCTTTCCTTGTGATGTGTTGTCTATATAGATTGAACAAAGATAAAATACATCCTTGTCTGACACCTTTGCCATTTGGGAACCATTATGTTCCTCCATATTCTGTCTAGACTATAGACAGCATCAGCATCAAAGCAAAACATCAAAGCAATCAGATGTGGCTCTGACCTGGATAGTCCAGGCAAGCCTGATCTCGTCAGATCTTGGAAGCTAAGCAGGGCTGACCCTGGCAAGTATTTGGATGGGAGATCTCAAGAGAATACCAGGGGTGGGAAACCAGAGGCAGGCTATCAAGCCACTTCTCTGAACATCCTCTGTGCCCCCAGTAGGGGTTGCCAGAGGTTGCCACAACTTCCAGGCGCACATACCCGCACATAAAATGCAAAAAAAATTTAAAAAATAATCCGATGCAGTGGCACACCCATTTCTTTTAAAACCAATCCATATACCGTATTTTCCTGCGTATAAGACTACTTTTTAACCCAGGGAAATCCTCTCAGAAGTGGGGGGTCGTCTTATACGCCGGTACGCCAGAAGCATTAGCACAGCTCTATATTTTAACTGGAAAACTCTATATTTTAACTGGAAAAGTTGGGGGTCGTCTTATACGCCCAGTCGTCTTATACGCCGGAAAATACGGTAATCAAAAGCTTTGCTGTAATCTATGAAACACAAGCTGATTTTCTTCTGAAATTCTCTTGTATGTTCCAATTTGTTGTTCAGTCGCACAGTCGAGTCCGACTCTTCGCGACCCCATGGACCAGATCACGCCAGGCCTTCCTGTTTTCCGCCGTCCTCTGAAGTTTGCTCAATTTCATGTTTGTTGCATCTATGACACTGTCTAACCATCTCATCCTTTGCCGTCCCCGTCTTTGACCTTCAATCTTTCCCAGCATCAGGGTCTTCTCCAGTGAGTGCTCCCTTCTCATTTGGTGGCCAAAGTATTTGAGCTTCAGTTTCATTATCTGGCCTTCCAGGGAACAGTCAGGGTTGATTTCTTTTAGGATTGACTGATTTGATCTTCTTGCAGTCCAAGGGACTCTCAAGAGTCTTCTCCAGCACCATAGTTCAAAAGAGTCTATTCTTCAGCGCTCGGCCTTCCTTATAGACCAACTCTCGCAGCCATACATGTCTACTGGGAATACCATTGCTTGGACCATGCGGACTTTTGTTGGCAGGGTGATGTCTCTACTTTTTATCATGCTGTTTAGGTTCGCCATCGCTTTCCTCACAAGGAGCAGGCGTCTTTTAATTTCATGGCTGCTGTCACAGTCTGCGGTGATCTGGGATCCCAGGAACGTGAAGTCTGTCACTGCTTCCACGACTTCCCCTTCTATTTGCCAAGGAATGATGGGGCCGGATGCCATGATCTTAGTTTTTTTGATGTTGAGCTTCAAGCCCACTTTTGCGCTCTCCTCTTTTACCCTGAGCAAGAGGCTGGAAGGCGCTTACTCTTGGTCCGAGCTGCTCGGGGTAGGGAGGGGGAGCTGAGGGAGGGGCCCTTAAAAACTGCAGTAGCTACGGGCCTGTATGAAGGGCACCTCACTTTCCCTTTTGCCATGCTGCTCACACAATTTCTTCCTTCTGGCAGCCCCCATATCTTCACCTTTTCCTGCTTCCTTCTCTCCTTCCTACCCACCAGGCAGGCTCGTAGCTACAGTGGGGCAACTTGGGACTAGACCCCCTGACTTACTGGCAAGGCCCTGTGACTTCTCATCCAGCCCAGGGTGTCATGGCCTTCTACGCCCAGGAGAGGCAGCTCCAGCCGGGGGCCTCTGGGGGAGGAGGCAGGCTAGATGTTTGCAGAGGAAGGGAGACTCAGATTTGCCGGCTGCCAGAGCGGAGATCAGTGCAGCACAGGATTCCTGCACCCTGTTTTCTTTAATTAAATTACCTTTGATTAGCCAGTGCCCCCTAAGAAATTTAAATTCCCCCCCAACTTAAAAAATCCGGGCTAGGGGCCTGCCACCAGGCAACAAACATTTATCTGCCCCCATTGTCAGCTATATTATTTATTTACTTCATTTATACCCCGCCTTTCTTCACAATGGGGATGCAAAGCAGCTTACGTCATTCTCCTCCATTTTATCCTCACAAAGATCTTGTGAAGTATGTTAGGCTGAGTGTGTGTGCCTGGCCCAAGGTCTCCCAGTGAGCTTCATTGGCAGAGGTGGGATTCGAACCTGGGTCTTTTTCTTGGGGGGTGTTGTGTATTGCATTACACACTGTGGCGCTTGGTCTAAAAGCTCCATCTCCCTCCAGTGTCCAAAAGCACACTTCTGATTGGGTACTACAAACAGCTCACCCAACCACAACACAGGAAAGGGTCTGGAGCGAACATAGTTGATTGGTCTTTATCTCTGTTCAGTGACTGGATGTTATCTGACATATGGGTGTGGTTACAGAAGCCTGCACAGTTTAAAAGGGAGCCTGTTGCTCCATGTTTTTTGTGTTTGTTCTTCATTTATCTAATAAAACTGAATCACTGTTTTGGAAAAGCTGCGTTGAGTCTCATACTTAACAGGGGGATGGCTGTTTTTTAATTATTTGTTTTGCTTTGGAGGGAAAGAACCAACTCCATATTAAAACCTGTTTCCTACTGGGCCTGTAAAATCTGTTACTGTTCCCTCAGTACTGTATCATCAGTGCACATCTCCAGAGCACCAGAGTAGCTCTCTCGCGGTCAGTATCAGTATGCCTTATAAGGAGTGACGTTTATCTAAAGATAGTAGTGGCCTTCATTTGGTTTCCTGCTTTTCTTATCATGCATTTTACAGAATAGCTTGTGGCAATTATTACAAAGAAAGTTTTTTTTAAAAAAAAAAATCAAAACAATTTCAAAGTTGTGGTAAATTTGGGGCTTGTCACGAAATCTGAGGGCACCCTTTTCTGTATTGGCACAGAAATGAAAGTGGAAATGATGATGCAGGGTTTGTTTGTTTTTTAAACTTCCTGAGCATGAGTCAGTCTGTTTTCATCACAATCTTTGTAAGCATTATGGATTTAATTTTTATATTATTTATTAAACAATCAACTATAGTTACAGAATTTACTTAGACCTGCATATATTGGATGCTAGGGGCTCTGTCCCAGCTTACTCCACTCACTCATACTAGGGGCCCTACACCTCAGCTTACTCCACTCACCAACTTATTCCACGCACTTGCTGCAACTGCAATATTTAATGGTAGTTTGAATACTGAATGAACAGCGGTATCTCCTGCAATATCAGATGAATAAATCAGATCTATCACAAACATCCTACCCCACCTTTATCCCCAGCGGGGACCAATGTTCCCTCTAAGCTGTGGAGTCTTGTGAGCAAAAATTCTACTTTGTGAGCCACTGGGCATTAAAGTTGTGAGCGAGTGATTTGGCCACTGCATAAATTAGTTTACTCTGGAGCCATCCTCCCTGAGCTAAGATAAAGATGTGTGAACCGGAGGCTAAAAAACTGAGCTACCTCACACTAACTCAGCTTAGAGGGAACACTGGTGGGGACCTAAAGCAACTTGAATTGTTCTCCTCTCCTCCGTTTTATGCTCACTACAATCCTACGAGCTATTTTAGGCTGAGAATGTATTACTGGCCCAAGGTCCTCCAGCAAGCTTCCATGGCAGAAGTGGGGTTCAGACCTGGGTCTCTTAGGTTCTAGTCAGACTGTGTAACCACTACAGCATGCAAGCTCTGATAAGTCAGGAAAGTGGTTAAGTGCCCTTTATTTTGTAACTGAAGACTATTTATCACCCTGCCTGTCTTGGGCCCCGTTCATACGAGGCAGTTTGGGCCGGGAGCGGGCCAGATTGGAAGCGCAGCAAACGGGTGCGATCCCACGCCAACATCTGGCTGGTGTCATGCTCCCGCCTCCAATCTGGCCCTTCCCCTGATGCAGCGCATCAAAGATGAACCACCTACCTTTGGTGGTTCATCCGGATGGTCCGCTTCATCCTGGCCGTGGTATCGGCGGCGCAGTACGGCAGCCTCCCCCTCCGACTGGTATCTTCCTCCCCGGCATCTGATCGTGCCGGGAAGCAACGGAGCGCGGCAACCGGGATCCGTGGGATCCCACCGGGGCGTTTCTTTTTTGGCGTGGCTTTTAAAAGCCGCGCTTCGCCCCATCTTTTCCCTGCCGTGTGGCAGGGGCCTTGCTGTTGCTTCATCTGGTATTTGCTGCCAAGAGGCAGAACTCATTCAGTATTCTTCAAACTGCTATGAAATATGAGTGCAGCAAACTATAGGGTTGGCGAGTGGAGAAAGCAGGGGCATATATATATATATATATATATA